CGGACGCATCGAGCTCAGGGACGCAGACAAGAATGAATTATCACAGCTTAATGGCAAGAAAGCTTCGGAATGCGGAACTATTGACTGGACTACCGTACAGACGGCAAACTAGCTACTGCGTGGGCTTCTGGGGCCTGTCATGAAACCAAGGGATAAATTGAAGCTTTGTCCTGCGGTGGATCGAACGCAAAGGGATTCATGATCGATCCATCATTTATTTGATTCGCAACAAGGTTAAAATAATCTATACAGTAATAATATGGGATAGTCTGGTGTATACTCCGTATCTACATAGAGTAAACAGATAATGGAGTGGTTGGGGCCGAAGGGATGGCGGTATTGGAGCTGTCATATGTGCCTAACACAGTAGTGGGCGTCAGGAATGCAGGGAGAAATTTTCCCTTTGGCTATTTTCGATGGGGGAATGGAATAGTCAAACTCTGTCAATGGGGCGATTTCAGAGAGTTGGAGACTATCCTTGGGCGCAGACCGATGGATAGAAGAAAAGAAGAGAATCAAGTTGGCTAGAAAGTATGAAAATCTAGACCAAGACATTAGTGATCATTGCAATCAGTGGTTCAGTTCCAGGTACATCCATGAATCATGTATTCAACTTGACGTGCTCGACGACGATGGATTCCATGCGGTATAGGGTGAGTTTTCTGTGGTAGAAAGGAGGGAAAGAAAAGAATGTCGTTTGTTCTTGTAGACAAACACATTGTCATAGTCAATAATCAGACAGAAATGGACAGAGTACAGCATGTAACTACCGTACCTAAACAGCGGTAGTAGTACCTTAGCACTTACAAATACTCCTCATTAGTGATCCATCCGGCGTCGCCGATCGCTAAGCCTTACCAATATACTTAAGTTAGCTTCCTACTAGTCCAGAAAACAACTAGGTTCGTCCCATGATGACGCCCAGGTGAAGTTGATGATGATGATGATGATGACATCCATCACTTGCACTTCCATTTCCACTTTCCCATTCCCATTATTTTCTTCTTCCTATCGCCTGCTATTTCTGCTTTTTTCTCCAGGTCCAGCCTTGGCGCCACTTTGGGTTCCAACTATCCTTTTCCGATCCAGCCGCGCCTTAGTTGTCCCTGGTTTTTCTAATTAGGTACTTATATGGACTATCAGGTTTAAATATTGACGACTATTATGTACGACCATGAACTATGATGAATGAGACGAATAACACTTATAATGATATATGACCATACTCCCTCCTCATTCCTTTATACTTGATTCCTTGAAGGTCTTCACTATTAGCCTGATATAGGTAGGAGCATCAAGTTCCTACAGGGCCTCCCTTGTCTCCTTCGCCTGCATACCTTGCTCGCCCTCAAGGTATTATTGAACCTCATCCCCATCTTCCGTTCATCCCCGTCGGATTGTTTCTGGTCCCTTCTTTATTTATTATTTATCTATTATTTTCTTCTGTTGCTCCTGGGTTATTGGGCAGGTAAGTTTGGGCCTCTTCCCTTGTTCTCCCGTTCCATGGTTACTCTTCCTCTCTTTTCCTCAGACCTTCATCTTGCGACGGCATCGCCACTCTCTTCCGGCCGTTGAACACGGATAGCGCGGAGTGACCAGTGACTAATATTTTTCCTTCTCTCATGTAGCTCAGCGCATTCATATACATAATACAGTTCAGCGCCCTTGATTTCACCATTAGTTCAATTTGTCTCCTACCTTTGTTTTAACCTTAGCTGCATTCCAAAGCTTGTTTGGCAAGCATACCTCGGCTGCGGCAATATACGACACTATACCTAATTCCTCCGCCTTTTTACATTCCATTGTCATTTACGGGCAATTCTCGTGGCGCATATTTACCGTTCCCGTCGCGATTTGACGGTTTTGGATTTCTGATCTGAAAATATAGAGTTGGCGCCTTCTCACGCTCAAGGGACGTGGTCCTGTCCGTGCGAGGGCTGTAAATTCGGCTCATAGGGCTCCCAAATAGTCGTCACAATGGCCCCCTCAGTTTGGGAAAGGGCCAAGGTGGGCGGCAAGAAGGGATTCGACAAGGCATGGAATACGGTCGATAAACTAGGGGCGCCGGTGAATCGTTTGTCGAATCGCGTTGGAGCGGAGGCCTTCTGGCCCATGACTCTCGACAAAGAAAGCGACAAAGCAGCTCGCATCCTGCGCAGCTTCTGCAAAGATGGTTTCTATACCACAGAAGATTCAGAGCGGAACGGTACGGACAGCGATGGGAAGATCAACCGTCCCAAGGGTAAGCAGCGAGTGATCAAGAAGATTCCCGCGCCAGTGATCCAGCGTGCAGCGGGCCTCGCCATCTTCACGACAATGCGAACGGGTTTATGGCTGAGCGGTTCGGGTGGAAGTGGTGTGCTTTTGGCTCGCATTCCCGAAACAGGCGAATGGAGTCCACCCTCCGGTATCATGCTGCACACCGCTGGTATCGGTTTCCTGGCCGGGGTGGACATTTATGATTGCGTGGTCGTTATCAACACCTTTGAGGCGCTGGAGGCATTCAAGAAAGTGCGGTGTACTCTTGGAGGAGAGGTCAGCGCCGCGGCTGGTCCCTTCGGGCTCGGAGGTGTCCTGGAGTCGGAGGTTCACAAGCGACAGGCACCCATCTGGACATATATGAAGAGCCGGGGTCTATACGCTGGCGTCCAGGTGGACGGGACGATCATCATTGAACGCACAGACGAAAATGAGCGATTCTATGGCGAAAGGATATCCGTCACCGACATTCTGGCCGGCAAAGCGAAGCGGCCACCAAAGTCCATCAAGACCCTCATCCAGACGATTAAGGCCGCACAAGGTGACAGCGATGTGGAGGAGAATTGGATTCCTCCCCCCGGACAGACGCCGGGCGACGTCGAAGTTCAGCCAGCGACTCCGTTCGGAGTCCCTGATCCTGATGACCCGGATCCATTCGGGGTAAAGGCTCTGGAAGCCGAAGGCTTATTCATCCGCGAAGCCGGGACCCGATCGCGACCGTCGCAAGATGTCTTTGAATTCAAACCGAGTCCTCATAGTCCCATCTATTCCACCTTTCGACGGAGTTTGGATAGCTCCCCACGCAGCAGTTGGAGAGCGAGCGTTCAGAGCCATGCCAGTGTGGATCGAGGGACGCAGACCGACGTGGCCCCTTTTACTGCCTCTACGTCAATCAGCCGCGCTTCATCAAGGAGCACCCGTGCAGATCGTATCGAGCGCAGTCCGTGGGACGCAGAGGACGGCTGGGATACCGTGATACCGGAGCGGCCGGCGCATCTCACCCGACATCGAGAATACGACAGTGATCAGGACTCCGTGGACGATGACTATGAGGTCCACGAGGTCAGCAGTGCTACCGTCTCCAAGCGTGAGAGCACCACTCCGTCTTCCCCTGTGTCCATTGAGGACACAACCGCTCCTCCAGAGCTGAAACGTCATTCGCCCACATTCACCCGAGCCCGGCTGGTCACCATTCCCAAGCGCTTGCCTCCTGCTCTACCACCCCGAAATCCTCATCGGGACCCAGTTTCACTGTCACAATCGACACCTACTTCTCCAACTTCCTCCACTTCCTCCTCTCCAGACGGCAGACGATCCGTGGCGTCCCACCCTGATAACTCAACTATAAATGTCTTTGCCCAGCTTCCTCTCCACCCTAACAATTACTCCTCGTCGAGTCTCCTGTCGAAAGAGACTCCTCAATCGCACAACCAGGTGTCCGCTGAGAAAGACGAATTCCACTCTGTTGCAAGCGCTCAAGCATCGGACGATGAAGCCGAACCTGATACCGCGACCGTCAATGGCCTTTCTAATGAAGGTTCTCATGAAGAAGTCATTTCTGACTTGACTCAGAGTGACCCCACAGCTTTGGAAGCATCAGAACCAGTCTCCAAGACCGAAGCGCAGGAGTCTGCTCCCAAGCCTGAACACGCGACTTTGGAAGAGGCAAAGTCTGTGTCCGAAAATGGAACCCACAGAGCTTTGGAGCCCACTCAAAGCGTGTAAGACATTTGTTGGGAAACTTCTGTTAATATCATTGTCTTCCTCTTTCAGTACTCACTGTATATAGACCTTCTCCTATCTCGTCATTCTTGCATGATTGTTAGTTTGGACAGGCGCATGCGTGATTGACTTCTGTCTGCTACCGGCATTCATTACTTGTCTTGTCCGATCTTCTGGAGTGTCTTCTTCTTGGTTCTTTTTGCCTTCTTAGCGTCCTGGCATTTGGGAGGATGGGCGTCATGGTTAGTTGGTTGTTAAGTAGAGCATTTCTCGACCAGAACAGAAAGCTTCTGAAGTTTGAAAATTTGACTTAATGTCTTATTATGATCTGGAGGTAGTTCCTAGAAGACTTCAGTGTCTCACAATAATAGACCACGAGGAACATATGATTCTCACCTGGTTAGATTCAAATCTTCTCACGGGAAAGACAGGAACGAAGACAGACTCAAGACTGATATTGAAGACTCTACCCCTGAGCTCTCTGACGCCAGTCCTGAAACGGAAGTTTGAATGAGCCATGAGACAATTGTTGGTGTCGCCTTGCCGTGCCAACACAAGCATTGTATTAGCAAAACCAGAAGTTAGACAATACTATTCATTATCCACACAAGGATTACTGATACTCCACTGTTCAATTCGTTTAGATTCTGGCAGCCAGTGGATCAGCTTTGATCATTCCCCAGACTAAATCCACTAAGAGTGCTAGACCCCTTTTCTGCCTGAAATGGTGTCTGCTGGAGCAGGCAGCAGCCCGCATTGGCGCCTGGATCGTCAGGCCGCTACTTACTAGTTACGGGGTCGGAGTGTGATAAATAGAACCACACAGCACCACGAAGAGGACGCTCGTATTGCCTTCTCAATTCTTCATCTTCGTCGTTTTTAATTTGTTTGTAGCACTGATAAGTTACTGCGTGGTCTGTGACCATTTCATACCTTTTCGATTCATTCCGCAGAGCTCAACTATATCCTTGTTTACTTCCATTGCTTGCATACGGAGGACATCTCGCACTATCTTCTCAATGGCACCACGAACATTCAAAAAAGCCGTCATCGCCGTAAGCGGGACGTTCCCGGGCTACAAGCAAGGTACGCCGTGCCTCGCACCGCCTGACCGACTGTAACGACGACAGGGCTAACTATCTCGGATTCGCCAACAGCCGATCTGAAGGCTATCGTCGAGGGACAAGGCGCTACATTCACCTCTACAGTCTCAGAGGGCTGCACACATCTAATCACAACGCAGAAGGAGGCCGAAAAGGGGACGGTGAAGTGTAAGTTGTCCCCGCTGTCTGTAATCACAGCGTTTGCTGATAAGCGCAGACAAGCAAGCGCGTAATGTTCCTGGGTGCGAAGTTGTCTCTTTGGAATGGCTGTTGGACTCACAGAAGGCCGGGAAACCACTTGCTTCAAAGACGTATCTTTTGACTTCTGGAGCTGCGTCCGTGGAACAGGATCAGAATGGAGGTGCTAGCACTAGTGCTACTGCTACTGGCGCTACCACTGCTTCCAAGACGAACAAGAGGAAGCTTGCTGATGCGAATGCTGATGCCGCGGATGGCGCAGCGGATGTGAATGGCGATAGCAATGGCGATGAAGCGAATAAGAAACAGAAGGATGCGCAGAAGGCCAGTGCCAAGTCTCTGAATGTTCCTGTTGACGAAGGATGCACGATGCCTGGTATGTACTTGCTAGGAGAATGGTGGTTATTGGTTGTGGCTAATTGGCATAGGGTCGGTCTTTATTGAAGACTCCGGGCTGATCTGGGATGCGACGCTGAACCAGACGAATTCCGCGAATAACAACAACAAGTTCTACCGGATTCAGCTGTTGGCTGATACCTCCGGGACAACCTACAAGACGTGGACGCGATGGGGCCGTGTCGGCGAGTTTGGATCGTGCGCACTGCTGGGTGATGGGACGTTGCAGAGAGCAAAGGCCGAGTTTGAGAAGAAGTTCAAAGACAAGACGGGTCTGAAGTGGGAGGATCGGCTGAGCACGCCTAAATCCAACAAGTACACCTTCATCGAGCGTAACTATGAAGAGTCGGACGATGAAGACGACAACGCGGGCAAGATGGATGTTGACGAAAAGGGCGATAAGAAACCAGTCGAGAGTACCCTGCCTCAGGCAGTGCAGAACCTTTTAACCTTTATCTTTAACCAGCAGCACTTCCTGTCTACTATGGCGTCCATGTCGTACGACGCACAAAAGCTGCCTTTGGGCAAGCTGAGCAAGCGGACCTTGACGACCGGATTCCAGATTCTGAAAGATCTGTCTGAACTCGTGACCAATCCTACCCTGGCAAGCTCGAGATACAACACTACGTTCCAGGATGCCGCGCAGGATCTCAGCAATCGTTACTTCACCACCATTCCGCATGTGTTCGGTCGCAATCGGCCTCCTGTTCTGGCTACAGATCAGCAGATCAAGACCGAGGTTGATCTGCTGGAAGCACTGACCGACATGGGTGTTGCCAACGAAATCATGAAGGAGTCTCGGGATGCCGAGATGATGAACCAGCTAGATCGCCAGTACCAGGGCCTGGGCATGCAGGAAATGACTCCACGTAAGTCTGCCGCATCCGTATCCTCTTCTGACAAAAGCTGACTCCTGTAGTGAACCGTTCCTCCGCTGAATTCCGTGAACTCGAAGCCTACCTGAACAATTCTCGCGGCTCGACGCACCATCTTCGCTACAGCGTGAGTATCACCCCTCAAAACCAAAATCTCAGGATACTCACAGCAAACAGGTCATCAACATCTTCCGCATTGAGCGCAAAGGGGAAGAGGATCGATTCAAGTCTTGGTGTTATTCGAATCGAACGAACAGCAACCGCCGTCTTCTCTGGCACGGATCCCGCAGTACCAATTTCGGTGGTATCCTAAGCCAGGGTCTTCGCATTGCACCACCCGAGGCCCCCATGTCAGGATATATGTTCGGCAAGGGCGTCTATTTCGCCGACATGTCAAGCAAATCGGCAAACTACTGTGTGCCCTACAACAGCGCCAACATGGGTCTGCTGCTCCTCTGCGATGTCGAGCTTGGAAACCCCATGTTCGAGCAGTATCAGGCCAACTTCAATGCAGGAACGGATGCGAAAGCCCAAGGCAAGATCGCGACGCTCGGAAAAGGGCAGACTGTCCCGGCGGGATGGAAGGATGCAGAATGCCTCCATCCGACGCTCGCAAGGGTACAGATGCCGGATGTGTCCAAGTCTACGATGTTTGGCAATGGTAGTCTGATGTATAATGAGTACATTGTGTATGATGTTGCGCAGATTCGGCAGAGGTACCTTTTCCATGTCCATATGAGCTGATGGGCTTTCTTGTTTTGGGTTGTGATTCTTTCCTTTCGGTCATGGCTCGGAGTTGGAGTGGCTGAGGCGTTTGTGGTCGCATAGCGATGGACTGGATTGCTTTCTTCTTTCGAAGACTTAGCTTTAGATTCCGCCGGGCAAAATGAGTTGAATTAATGCTTGCGAATAATACAATTGGGTCAATAGCTCAATTCCAGAGATAATCTAACCAAAGTCCTCTGCAGACCATCTTGGCGGTAGACTGCTTGGAGAAAGAGGGGGGGTGTTGCCCAGGACCAATGTTCTGAAGGGATAGCGGATGAGTAAAGTGACATTGATTGGTTCCTGCGCATGTAAATTTGTCCTCATACTTGTAGAAACCTTGCATGATGTAGATATTCTCTTATCATGTCTCGGCATGTAGGTAGGGCTATATATTTGACTCAGCGGGGAGATATGCATTAGTTAACTGTAACCCTGGACAAGAGTCTTTGCCGGTTTGGCATCCTCTATAGTCTGCAACAACATCACGGACTCTAAACAACTCCAATTCAATTGACAATGAAATAGCAGGGCTGACTGGAATATTGATCGCGGAATGCAGCTGATCAGCGACTATTAACCTCGGTAGTGTTCTTGTTGGTGTAAATTCTGGGGCCTGGGACTATTGTTATCGCAGCTCCACTGTTTGTTGTTATGTTACATCGTCTTCCACGAACCAATCAACAGTCACGATCAGCATGGCTGCTTATGACTCGATCAGATCCCCATTTGAAGCGCTCCTTCGCCTTCGTTGATGTTGTTCTTATTCCAATGTTTATTCAGACGGGTCGAGAGGCGTATCATGTTATCCCTTGTACCCCTTCTATCTGTGACCGCTGGTCTCACGTTGACCGCGGCAGCACAGTATTTCCCTCCCACACCAGAGGGTCTCAAGGTCGTGCATTCGAAGCACCAGGAGGGCGTAAAGATTTCGTACAAAGAGGTATGATGCTTTACCTAGCCTATGAAAAAAAAATCTAACTGATCTAGCCTGGTATTTGTGAAACCACCCCGGGTGTCAAATCGTACTCTGGCTATGTGCATCTGCCGCCCGGCACGCTGAACGACGTTGATGTCGACCAGCAATACCCCATCAACACTTTCTTCTGGTTCTTCGAGTCGCGCAATGATCCCGTTAATGCACCGCTGGCCATCTGGATGAACGGCGGGCCCGGCAGCTCGTCCATGATCGGACTGCTGCAGGAAAATGGCCCTTGCCTTGTTAACGCTGACTCCAACTCAACGGAGATCAACCCCTGGTCATGGAACAACTACGTCAACATGCTGTACATTGACCAGCCGAACCAGGTCGGGTTCAGCTATGATGTCCCTACGAACGGGACCTATAATCAGCTCACCAGTGCGTGGAATGTCTCCGCATTCCCGGATGGTAAAGTGCCGGAGCAGAACAATACATTGTATGTGGGCACGTTTCCCAGTATGAATCAGACGACTACGGCGAATACGACAGAGAATGCGGCACGGTCGCTCTGGCACTTTGCGCAGACATGGTTCTCCGAATTCCCCGAGTACAAGCCGCAGGATGATCGAGTGAGTATCTGGACTGAGTCTTACGGTGGGCGCTACGGGCCGTCGTTCACTGCGTTCTTTCAAGAACAGAATGAGAAGATTGAATGTGGCATGTTACCAGATGAGTATCATTACATTCACCTGGACACTCTGGGAATTATCAATGGGTGCGTGGATCTCTTGACGCAAGCTCCGTTCTACCCCGCTATGGCGTACAACAATACCTACGGCATCGAGGCGATCAACAAAACCGTCTACGAAAGGTCAATGAATGCGTGGAGTAAGCCTGGTGGCTGCAAGGATTTGATAGTTGAGTGCCGGGAGCTAGCGACCCAGGGAGATCCCACCATGTCCGGGCGCAATGAGACGGTCAACAAGGCCTGTCAAAAGGCGAACGACTACTGCAGCAACCAGGTGGAGGGTCCCTACACACTCTTCTCCGGCCGTGGCTACTACGATATCGCGCACTTTGAACCAGATCCATTTCCGCCACCCTACTTCCAAGGCTTCCTGAACCAGAACTGGGTGCAAGCCGCGCTGGGGGTGCCCGTCAACTTCTCCATCTCAGTGGACAGCTCATACAACGCCTTCGGATCGACGGGCGATTACCCGCGCTCCGATGTTCACGGGTACCTCGAGGATCTCGCGTATGTCCTCGACTCGGGGATCAAGGTGGCGCTCGTCTACGGGGACCGGGACTACGCATGTCCCTGGAACGGCGGCGAAGAGGTAAGTCTGCGAGTCGACTATGCCGATTCGGATTCGTTCCAAGCGGCCGGCTACGCCCCGGTCCAGACCAACTCGTCGTACATTGGGGGCCGTGTGCGGCAGTACGGCAACTTTTCATTCACGCGTGTCTTCGAAGCAGGCCATGAGGTGCCAGCGTACCAACCCCAAACAGCATATGAGATCTTCCACAGAGCTTTGTTTAACCATGACATTGCGACGGGAAAGGTGTCACTGCTGCAGAATGCCACCTACGCGAGTGAGGGGCCATCGTCGACGTGGGAGATCAAGAACGAGGTACCTGAGAGCCCGGAGCCGATATGTTATATCCAGTCACTGCGGAGTACTTGTACCGATGAGCAGATCCAGAGCGTGGTCAACGGGACAGCTTTGATTAAAGATGGGATAGTTGTGGAGAAATAAGTGGATATTTACAAGGCATGTGGATATGACATACCTTATGTAGATACCGGGTATACTTCGTGGATATATGGTGCTTCATCAACCCCGCATAGGCAGTTCCGCCACAATCCGGTTTCTTGAACTGCAACAAGCACTTGACAGTCGATATATTTAGAACACATGGCTTAGCTAGGCTATACTCTATTGCTACTATTGCTTCAAGTGATTGGCGTTCCCTGAAACCGACTTGATATCATACATTGACCAATCGAAGCTTCTCGAACATTCTATACCTCAGGCGGGGAACTGGGCCATCAACGTCACACGTCACTCCCCTCAGCGATTCAAGATAACCGGGCCATCAGCCCAACCACTTCTCTCCCTCTCTTCCTGTCAACAGTTCTCTCAAACAAACGTATTAAGGTGGCTTTGTACTGTGCATATATTCGTAACTCATAATCGAACTGTTCGCCGTTGACTAACGACAATCGTGCAACTGCAACAAACTACAAGCCTCATCTTATCGCCAAGAGGAATCTTCTACGTCATTCGAGATTCCCCTTCAGCCTACACCAGTCTTCTCCTCCACAACGCAATACGCACTATCGCATGACGGGTGCAATTGTGCCTGATTATTTTCCCTTGGTCTAATCATTTATATTATCATTGTTCTCTTGCCTACGATCAACAATTTGCCGATAACACACAGCACACTGAACATAGACATACGCAATGGTTGCGGAAACAAAACTATACGACGCACTAAGCATCAAACCCGATGCCTCACAAGACGACATCAAAAAGGCCTACCGGAAAGCCGCTTTGAAATATCACCCAGACAAGAACAAAGATGATCCAAAGTCGGCGGAGAAATTCAAGGGTAAGTTGCTGCCGATCACAAGGCTTCTGTAATTAGGAGGGTGAGCCGTGCTAACAAAAGCAGAGGTCTCTCAAGCCTACGAAGTCCTCTCCGATCCCGAGAAACGTAAAGTCTACGATCAATACGGCCTCGAGTTTCTATTGCGCGGGGGCCCGGCACCCGGACCCGGCGGTGCCCCCGGTGCAGGCGGATTCGAAGGTTTCGAGGGCGGCATGCCTGGCGGGTTCTCCTTTGGCGGGATGCCCGGCGGCGGGGGAACCCGCACGTTCCATTTCTCGACTGGTAATGGCGGCGGGGGCGGGTTCCGCTTCAGCTCGGCGGATGATATCTTCCGAAACTTTGCGAAGGCGAGCGGCGGCGGTATGGGCGGTGGATTGGACGATGATGATCTGTTCAATATCCTCGGCGGGCTAGGTGGTGGTGGTGCTCGTGGGTTCAGGTCGAGTCGCGGCGCTGGCGCTGGAGCTGGTGGTGCTGGCGCTGGCGCTGGCGGTGCAGGAGGATTCCAGCAGGCGAACCGGGCGCCAACACCCGAGCCGACGGTCGTGGAGAAGGAGCTACCGCTGACGTTGGATGAGCTTTTCAAGGGGACGACGAAGAAGGTGACAGTGAAGAGCAAGACGTTCGATGCGAGCGGGAAGCGGACCGTCCAGGATGTGACGTTGGAGGCCAATATCAAACCTGGTCTGCGGACGGGCTCGAAGATCAAGTACCGCGGTGTCGGGGACCAGGAAGAGGGCGGACGCCAGGATGTCCATCTAATCGTTACAGAGGTAAGTCTTTGCAATTTCGTCACTCAAAAGTCCAAGTCCGGATAGTGCTAACGGCCGAGTAGAAACCGAACCCCAACTTTAAACGCCAGGGCGACAACCTCATCACAACAGTCGAACTCTCTCTCAAGGAAGCCCTGACAGGCTGGGAACGGATCGTGCGCACCATCGACGGCAAATCCATCCGTGTCTCCAAGCCTGGTCCCACACCACCAGGCTACGAAGAAAAGTTCCCGGGCCTGGGCATGACGATATCAAAGAAACCTAGCGAGCGCGGCGATTTCATTGTCCGCGTGAACGTCAAGTTCCCGGCTAGTCTGACGACCGCGCAGAAGGATATCCTCAAGGATGTACTGCCATGATTTACATTTGTCTACATGATTAGCATTGACGGCGTTTGGGAGTTGATGGGAACGACTGGCTTGTTTTATGATGATATGAACTTTTTTATTGCTACTCTGTCGAAGAGCTGAACAAAAACCTTTTTCCATATTCATAATTGAATATGAATTTCTAAATGTTGGAAGCTGGTTTGAACGAAGAAACTGATGCGAAACTATAAACCCATTCCGGCTTTGTCCCGCTCAATCCTAATGTCAGGCTGCCTTGAAAGGGGTCTGGTTCAATATCCTTACCGCATACGTATAGCAAACACCAGTGGGCACTGAGCACATATCCACCATTTTCGAAGGAAGCTTGCCTCACCAGATGGTATCTAATCAGCTGCAGGAGAAGAACCTCCAAATTTGTGTTCGATAGAGAGGTAGACTAGAAATAGAAAATACTCGTACATACATTCCTTAGTGTCAGAAATCAATGGCTCCATCTGCAACTTGATGTTCGTAATAGTGCACATATTTAACTATGGATACAACTTAGCACCGCTTATAGTGATTTGTTTTGCTGGCGTTGCAACGGCCACGCATACTAAAGGAATAGGTTTCTGACTTGAGGTCATGGAGAAGCGTACCCATTGCTATTTGATGACCGGAGTTGATCTTGGCATGAGGGAGTAGTATCTCCAACATCGTAATACTCTCATGGGATTGAGAAAGTCGTAAATCATAAAATGAGGCCGTTGCCATTACTAAGCATGTTTGCACTGTTTGTATTTCCTTCCGCAACAGTTATCCCCGTGTAGACAATTTTCGAGTTGGGATCCGAACGAGAAAATTTAACGATAGAGGAAAACATTCAACGATGATGAGAGGGAAGGGAACACCATGTCAGCAAGATCAATGTAGAATAAGGTACCGTTGTGTGTTGCAATTAAGTTGTTCGAAGCTGACCAACAACCATCCGAACAATCCTCTCAATAAACCCTACCGACATGTGTGATAGGGCCAGCGTAATCTAAGGCAAATAATTGCATGGGCTCCAGCGAGACAACGGCCCTCGGTATCTCCTTTGGCGGCTTAAGGCCCACGAGTTGACATTGATGGCAACTCTGGCAATATTCCACAAGTGTCTCATAGCGCCGCGGCCAATAGAACCTCCGGATCGCTCTTCCCAAGGAGATTCACGGGGCAAAATGGCCGTGGATGTCATGCAGTTGGTATAAGATCGGTGGCAGTTGACTCTGCAGGACACAACGTGCCCATTTCCCACTCGCCGCTCGGTAAGCTAAGAGATACTCACCTTCGACGTTCACCAACTTTGCTTTACCCAATGCCGTGCACGATTGAAAACCAAACCGTTGAGCAACTCCAACGTCCTGTTGACACCTGGGTGGCCATTCTCGTCGTGTGCAATCTGCAATGTCTCGCGAAGCAAGGAGTGAGGTATGCAAAGGAATCCATCTTTTGTGTACAGCAAGCGATCACGTATTTCATATGGTAAAGCAACTGGCACTTGGGATTCAGAGTTTGTGTGGATCATTTGTATAACCCTTGACCATCTGTGATCTGCTGGATATCCTTTGATTATCCGGTCTTTAAAATCATCCGACAAAGCAACTCCAATCATCGTGGTTTGTTCCGGTCCATCGGCATGGAACGCATGACCAAAGAGGATATCGAGCGGATCTGTATCCAATGTCGTCGGGTTGGGGTCATCTTTTGCAAAGGAAGGTAATCGAGATAGTGCGTCCGGCACGATATGTTTCTTCCCAGGCTTGTGAAACAGCCAGGTGCGCTGCAGTAGTCCCGCCGGCATCTTCATGTTTAACACCAACTTTCCGTCCCTAACACGCCATCTGGTGAGTGATGCATGGGCGCTCATAGCTTCATCGTCCATCGTAAGTGACAGTTCCGTGAATTATTCCAGGAAGGGCCTTGGCCATTCCCCTTTTATGACGCTAGCATTGGAACGTATTGTCGGTCAGATACTCATAAATCAATCAACACCAATATCCATCAGCCATCGCACCATATCCAGGCGCCCGAAGCGCACAGCTTTCATGAGAGGGGTTTCACCCTTGGCGTTTGGTAGGTTTGGGCTAATCTGGGGTGTTTGTGTAAATGAACTCCATGAATTCCACGCCATGTGGATTTTCCACCGCACAATGCCATGAGGTATCTTGACAATTGCTGTCAATTCCATGAGCAATATTACAAATATGTTGACGGAGTCGGTGTGGAAGGGCAACTGTGAATACCGGCAGAGGTGAGCCCGCTCATGCGACTGAACATATCGTCGGAGGTTGTGAGCCACAAGCCGTGGATGGATCTGGTCCAAAATAGGTTCGAAGATCAGTTTATCACCTGTTTGTGTGGCAAGTGTGATAATCCTTTGAGTTCCTGCAGGTTTGACGTTTGCCTCGCTGGTAACATGCAGGTTTGTTGCCTGGCTTGATGGTAATCTGAAGTGCTTCTCAAGGGCCGAGCACCAGTCTTCATTGTTATTTGCATGGATAAGCCCACGTCGTAAGATGTTGGCAAGCGAGTATGGCCGACAGGTAAGTCTGTTTCGGATTGCTGTGGAGCCAGATGATATGCTCTGGCATATCAATGCAACCGCCAGTTTCCAAATCTGCTTTCCAAGCCCACGGAAGGGAGACAAGACAAATAGCCACTGAAGACGAAGAGCAAGTCTTTGATCCATCAGAATTTACCCAATTAGGCCCAATTCCGAAAAGATTATTGAAGACAACGACTGCATCCCAATGACTATGGCCTCCGAGAGCCAGGTTCTAATCTCTCAGCTCATCAACAATATGAAGTAGGATCATTTCGCGCTGTCATACGGGGTCCCGTCTGAATCTTTGGAGAGCCATGTGATCCGCCTCGCCATAAATGAAGAAAGGACACTCAATAGATCAGCACGATCATCACACTGACATGCAGTTACGCTCTAGCAAGCAAGACGGCATCGATTGCTGGAAAATCCCTGACCCCATAATCATCCATTTGACATCGGCCAGGGCTCGCACTACAGCTAGGAAACCTCTTTCTGGGTTCGCAGACCTCGTTTCGGCGTTCAATCTGAATGAAAGTAACATGATGATCCGGGCTTTGTCGCGGAGCGTTGGACACGCTACTGTTCCCGGAGCAGTGTGGATGGCCTGGTACTAGATGCTACTTGAGTGTGCCAAACCGGGTCTGACAGCCGGAACGTCAGCAAAGCTCACATCATAAGTCTTGTTCGTTCTTGGGTTGAATAGAAGCCGAAACGAAAAACCACAGACACGTTCAACACCGACAAAACGCAGCCAGATTGGCAACAACGCGGGGGAAAGAGACACTTACGCGAACGCACTTGCGCCTCTTCTTTGCGTAGTGTTGGCGCGACTTCTGCCGGCGGCCATTGACGGCAAAAGGGTTACGGTAGCGGTGCTGCGGTCCCCCTGAATGTCGTCCTTCTCTGGAAAGAAGAGCATTCGTTCATGCATTGCCCGACGTTGTTGCGACCTTTTAACCTTTATGAGTCTGTTCCAGTCGTCTAGGCTGACCAAGTGGGACGCATCTCCAAAGATGTCCTCGCAAAGGGACTTGAAAGTACTCTGGTCCGGATGGTCTTGGCCGCGTGCCCTTCGTCACAGACCACGCAGCCAAACCATCCGGACAAGATGGTCTCGAATCGCTTCCTTTCCCGCTGTTTTCAGCCAGGGCCGAAGTCGTTTGGTTCGCCAACCGTGGTATCGTCGTCGACAGTTTTAGGCGCCTGTAAATCGGCTAGCTCCCCAATGGCTAACACACTATCGTCATTTGTATCATTCGCGCCATCGCCATCATCGCCATCGTCCGCGCTCTCCACCTGCCGCCCCTTCCCCTTGGGATCCACCTCATACATTGTGCACAGGGCCCATGTGGTATATGAAGACAGGACAATGGTCCGGGTCGTCTCCAACCTGCTGTCATCCAATGCCTCTAGTCGTGTCTCCAATTCAGCCAGCGTATCGATGGTCAGCGACTTCCGGAGGTAGTCGGACGTGTGATCAAACTCCCAGGCGGGCCGTTAGCTCGACCAGCCACTTATCTATTAGTGCATCCAAGCCACTCCCCCAGACGGGCCTCTTTCAGCGAACTGCCTTTTCTATCGCACATGGAGTCATATCCATTTCCCTAATAGGTAACTCCCTTTCCCCAGCCGCGTTGCCGCTCTGGATTCCCATATATTCGGGCATGTGCGTTGGCCAGCGGGCTGTTCATCGACCAAGAGAATCGTTTCTTAACGACGGTCTCTATTCCTAGCTCTGCGAGCCGGCGTATCCAGATAGATTATGGGTGCTTCAAAGCAGCGCGAAGGATCTGCCTGATATCTGGGCCCCACAGTGGTTGTATTTTCCGTTATCCCAACTGGATGGAAGTGAATCTCCTGACCCCCTGCATGGGTAGTGATCGTCATTGACAGTCTCCGCGACCTCCTGCAACGACGCCAGCTGTTCGATTGCTAACATGTTGTCATCCGGGGTTTCGTCATCACTGTCGTCCGCGCCGTCGACCTGCCGGCCCTTGCCCTTGCCGTCAACTTCGAACACGGTGCGAGTGGCCCATGTGCTGTATGAAGAGAGGACTGTCGTTCTGGACGTCTGCACGTCGCGATAGTTAAGCGCCTCAAGGCGCACCTTGAGCTCATCGAGTGTGTCCACCGTGAGCGGCTTCCGCATATAGTTCGGGCTGTGTGCTGAGTTCCCATGGAACAGCAGGATGGTGAAGGCATCGCCTAATCTGTCCGTGAGCTCTGGATCCCATCTGCAAGGGCAATCTGGCGGCTGCACCAGATGCCAAATTGACTCTTGATAAGTACCGCAAGCGCCCATAATGCCATCTTGAGCTTCTCTGCGGCGCAAGGAGTCGGACTCGCTAGGGCTCATCAAAGATGTGAAGGGCCCATCGATATGTCCCTTTAATTCTTGCCGGCTGAATTCCGCCAGGTAGAGCAGAGACGGTGTGGCAGCAACTGGAAAGGTGCCCCATAAATGGATACACAGATGTAAACATGAATAATGACCACTCTGTCAAGTGTTTTTTTGATCTAGACAGACTGACCCCTTTGCACTCTTGCGTTTTGAAGAGCGACGAAAGCTCACCGAAGGAAGGTCACGGTGGTGGCTGAAGCCTGCTGGCAAGAATAAAGGCAGTCCGCGAGTATAGGATGCTAAACGTGTCAGTGGTTGTTGAGTATCTCTCTTAGGGGTGTTATGGGACTAGGCAGCCTCCTGCTCGAGCGGATAGAACTCTTTGTCTCTGCGACATGGCGCCCAGTCCATTGCCCGGAAGGCAGCCCCAGATTGTGCCTGTGGCACAATCGTACTGGAAGAAGAACCCTGTTCTTCCGATTGCGAGGATACCATACGCGCGGCGTCGAGGGACGCGGCTGCTTCGATGCTGTGTGCTGAGGTATCTCAGCAACTGGTCTGCCCCATCTGACCAAACTACATGCTGCCCGTCGCCTTCTGTCGACTTGCATTGTGTAATCCCCTGTGGAATACACCCAGTACCTCGGTTTGATGATCGTGTCAATCACCTCTTCCAGCGAGTGGACTGGATATAGGTTCTTGATGGTACATCGGTTTGAAGGGATATAGGTGTGCACTACTCGTAAATCCGCAGATCCTTTCGTCTTCGGAGGAGATTTCGTTCGCGCTCCCCAGTCCGAAGACATCTTGACCAGGATTCCCGACTCCACCATCTCAGGGATGATTCGGGTTGCAAACTCTCCTTCTTGTCGGATGTGTTTCGGTAAAAGGAACGGTGTTTTCCTCCAGCTACCCCCACGGCATTGAAGTCCAAAAGCCCCTGGCTCTTCCAGATCGAGCATGCATTGCCAGTGGTCGTATGCAGTTTCCCGATTGGTTTGTGCGGCCCTGAGGTCGGTCTCACGCGTTTTTTTTCTCGACTTCCAGTTGTGTTGATCGTAGGTCTACTACCTTGATTATATGGTCACGCATGGCGGCCCATACATGTGTTCATCGCCTCCCAGTTTCTCTGCCAGTGAACATGTGAAAGACGTTGCCTCGGACCAACGGCGTCCTAGAAACCAACAAAATAGAACCGCGCGTGTGACATACCCGTTGACTGGGTCAAACACCCGGTTCAAAATGGACTTCCACACTCCACTAAAGCCTCCTCCGTCGACACTGTGTGTGTCCCATGCTGCATGCTGAGGTACCTATGCACCTGGGCCAACCGTTTCCCAAGCCTTGGCCACTTAGGCACCGTTACCTCCTCATGCAGCATTAGCTGCTGACCCATCTCTCGACAGAGCTCATACTCTTCTTCCGCCGTCGAGCGCAGAAGCTCGATGGCCTGCCTTTGAGCTCTGAGACTTACGCGGTAGGGGATTTCTTGAAATCTTTCCAGTTCGCGCTTTTCAGCTGGAGCCGAATTCCTCTGCCTCATCCATGTCTCTATCATTGGCCGTTTCGGCCGTCTCCTGCAACAATGCCAACTGCTCTATAGCCAGTGTATTCTCATTGGGGTTTTCATCCTCGCTGTCCTCGGCTCCGTCAACCTGGCGGTCTTTACCTTTGCCCTTGACTTCGGTCACTTCGGTCACGGTGCATGCAGCCCATGTACTATATGACGAGAGGACAATTGTTCGCGACGTCTCCATGTCATGATCGTCAAGCCGCTGCAGTTGTGCCTCCAGGTCCGCAAGTTTATCAACAGTAAGGGACTTCCAGGTGTAATTTGAAGTGTGGGCCGAGTGCCCGTGGAAGAGGAGGATTGGGAATGCATCACCGAACCTCACCATCAGCTCTGTCAGCCAGGTGTCGATGAGGGCAGATGGACAGAGAATGAGTGTTGGCCTATGGGTGTGTGCTGGGTCTTTTTCCGCTCGAACTGATGCATACCACATCGTCGTGATAGCCGTGGTTGTTTTCCCGGTGCTGCAGGCATCGGCAAGGATGCCTGTGGCGACCGGGCTCGCTTCTTGTCGAAGCACCCAACATGCCCCTGAGAGTTGCCATTTTTTAAGGGTTGTGGCCGGTTGTTTCATATTCGAAGGGACCACTAGAACCGGGTTGAGTGGATCGAGTGCGAGTTCCTGGCAGGCGTTAGGGTTAGGGTTAGGGAGGATTTCTTGAAATACGGACCTTGCACCTCGATGCCTTCGCGGTGTAGGGCTTTCAACTATTTGCTGATGACGATTCCTTCTCTCAGGGCAATCGGATTTATGGCCTTTCTGATGGCTGGTTTGACAGACAGGACAGGTAGGGCACTCATCTATGATGTGTCCCTCTTCAGAACCAATCCTCTCATGAGTTCAATCGTTCGTCCAATCCCAGAATGTCTATTACCGCCGTGGGCTACCTGTAAGGTTTCACGAAGTAGCGCACGCGGCACGCAAAGACATCCATCAACTGTGTAAAGCAAACAATCGCGTATCACATATGGCAAAGCGACTGACACTTGGGACTCGGAGTTCCTGCGGAGTATTTGGATAACCTTAGACCATCTCCGATCCGCTAGATAGCCCTTGGCTACTTGTTGCTTAAACTCGTCTGACAAGGCAATACCGATGATGGAGGGCTGTGATGATGTTACACTGTGGTTGTTAGCATATGATTCTCGCGGACGGGGAAGGGGTAAACTCACCATAGCAGTTGGAGCAGACCACACATTCCGCATAGTCCAGACGGAGGACCTATACTGGCGGGTGACCAGCGGCAGCTGGGGGAGCAGCCACGGGGCCGGCGGCCGGAGCATTCGCGGGGGCTGGCGGCACAACAACAGCCACCATGGGAAAGTCGCAGTTTCGACGGAGATTCTTAAAGACGTTCAAATACTCCGTATCGCTCAGTGCCAATAGGAAGGCCGGTTGACGGCAGTGATGCGAACGCAAGGGGGAGAAGGTGTATAGGATAAGCGAATGTGGAATAAAGTTAGAAAACGAAAAAGAAGAAGACACCATCTCGAGAGCTACACGAAGCTACATGTGGTGTACAATGCGATCTTAAGCCAGGTAAAGGAAGGAGGGTAATCTGGCCGGTCCTCTCCAATCCAAGGATGAGTCTCCAATCGTTAAGTGCAACAGAGTACAACATGTTGCTGGGAATTGCAGGCATGGAGATCTGAGATATTCTAAGGGGCGAAGCTCGTGATATTCTTTGACACAAATCAACTGAAAGCAACGAGCATTCAGGTGGCCCAGTGCCATGCCCATGGGGGCCAGAGTCGCTGTCGGATGCAAATGACTTGCCCACACACGATCACACCAGGGTATAGATCTTTGAGGAATTGGAGTCCCTGAGAACTCACTTTGACGCTTGAGAAATTGAGCTGTCCCGCCTAGCTCCATGGTGTTCTTAATAAGGAGGGTAGGTCAGGAAGGTCTGGCTGCACAGTTGCCGAAGACGTAAGTAACCTTCGCTGGGTGTTGGTCCATGTAGGGTCGCGTGACAGGCCTTGGAGCATTCGGCGACACAAGTTGCCACTATTCAAATTTCACGATGTTGGTTCAATGACTATCAAGCGGACAATGCGGTCGTCGCCCAGGAACTCGAACCACCATTTCGCGTCCGACTCCGACTTGGGATACATGCGCCCACTCTGGTTTCGATGACCAGTGTTGGCCAGCCAGGCTTGGTTCCTTGCAGCGGGGTGAGAGCGCATTTCGTCCTTGGAAATGCGTTTCTTCAAGAACTGCGCGAAACTTGGTCGGACGACTTCGGAAACAGCGCTCTTCTGTCAGTTTCACGATGGGATGGTTCGCGCGAATCCATCCAACAACAAGGGACGTCTCTATCTGATAACTAAACTCGTGCCATCCCGATTGTTCTTTCGCTGTGTGAACTGTGGGCCGGAGGTGCCATGTATCTCCGCCAAGCACCATGGCAGCATACAAGCTTAACTCCCCCTCTTCCTTTGTCATCTGTGCTCATCTCCAAATCCTCGCACGCAGGGACTTTGGTGGGGTTTTCTGAGGCTTAAAGACAACCTCATCTTCGGAGAATATTTCAACTTGACAGTTTTCAATCCAATCTCCCGAGTCCTGCTCGAGCCGTTGCATGCTCGTGTATGTTCTGGTGACGGCAGTCGAAGTCAAGGAAGCTGAGGATGGAGCTAACTGGGAGCCGGGACCGATGTTTCTTTGCAATATTAGGCATGAATCTAACCATGGTTAGATTGAAACTACTAACCAGGTTGGACATATCAGGTCACGGTTGGCGCGGAGATTCTCGAAGACCGTGACATACTCTGTATGACTGAGCGCCAATAAAAAGCCAGGGCGACGGTAGTGATGGTGTACTGATCGACCATGTATGGGTCCCTAAGCTTTGGGAGCTCCTCTGATTGCAGATATCTGGATGGTAATGGCCCTTGCGTCTTCTTCTTGGCTCTACCATCCAATGAGCTCGAATTCGAACGTGAGAGGAGAGGGCATAGCGTTCCCTGCTCGAGAACAAAGGGCAGGATTGCGGATGCGTGCTGCTCCCTTCCCCTCAGGAGCGAGGATCAATTGAAATTTGCCGCGGCTGATGGTTGTTCGCGATGATACGCATTCGCCTGCCTGAGTGTCAGTCCTTGCCTTGAGAGACAAGAAGAAGTGGTAATAACTTACCTCCCGAATATGTTCAGAAAAAAGCTTTTGGCACGCCACTTCGTGAAGCTATCTTCCTCACGACTTAGTAGGTTCCTCGAATAGTGACTACAGAGACTGATCGTTCCTTCGCTTCTGAGCAATAAAACTGGCCGTGACGCGGACTGTCGTTCGTCTCAGCCTATCAAGGATATGGCACCCACACTTTCCGAGTGCATGAGGGATATGCACAACTGCGCAGTTCGATTGTTTTCTCGCCCCAGATGTGTTGGTGTAAAGGAGACTTTGATGTGCCTATGGGACTGGCCATAAGCGCTCCAGTAGTCTTTGTTTCGATTGTCTAGAACAAAGTCTAGACGAAAGACATAGCAGACCCATACTTCACGCCCATGGACGGTGAGTCTTACGTCGTTTTCCACGCACGGCGTGTAGACTGGTAAACTTTTCTGGAACACAAGCTTTCTCCCTCCAACCCCGATCCCATGCCGCTCCCCTGATAGGTACCAGACGGGTTGAGAGATAGTCATACCCTTTTTAAGACGGATGGTTTTTGCGCGAAGCAATCGGACAACAAGGGATGTCTCCATCTGGTAACTAAACTCGCGTGCCGAAAACATGGACTTTTATCCATATAGGCAGTACAAGCCGGGTCAATCATCATCTGATAACATCTCCTTCATCAACTGGCGTAATGGCAGGATGAGAGCAACATTGGACCAAGCTCCAGGTATTTAAGGTAAGATGGCTATAATCATGTCAGAAAGAGAACTAGTTGTTAACTCGTTAATATGGTAGTAAATCTTCTTCACAGTCTACTAACCGAAGTATTTCGTCGTCGTCTTTTGGATATGTGTGATCGAGGGGGAGTGACAACCACAAAAGCAGTCAACTGAACATTAGCTGTGGTTGAGAAAACATGCCAGATTGTGTCAATTGTCACGTCAATCAGTCGCCTCAATATAAGCATTCATATCGTTGAGAATCCATTTTGGCGGTTATAGTAGTCGACTGCACTGACTTTCCTGTATCATATTAGCTCTAGTCATGCGGCAATCTAAACGAGTAAATACCTGTTGTCTTTGGGAAAATCCAAAGAATACAAAGGTAAAGAACCCTCACATCGGCAATTGAGGCAATTCTCGTAGCACATTTCTTTCCAGAAGGTATAATCAGCTCGTGGTTTCCTAATCATGTCATGAGAGACCGCACAGGACCATACGTTCCATTAAGGAACTTGAGATCGTCCATGTATCGAGAAAGTTGTTCTGCAACATTGTAAGTCAGTCCGAGCTCTGGGGGAAACCGAGGAAATACATACCTGATTTCGCAACGGAGAATACGTCTCCAGATGAGTCGCTTCTCCGTGATAGTCCGGGGTCTTTCTCGGGGCCCTCGATCCTGACCTCCATTCTGGGTCGCCCAAACCGATTCCGGCTCTTTTTGCCCTATTTTCTCTCGTCCTACCAATCGTTTGGTTCGATTTTTCGTTGCGGTCCCTGAGACTATCAAGTCTCTGGTTGACATTAGCCAAAGTAATGCCTTGGAGAACGTAAGTCCATACCCTTGCTTTGCCAGCCAGGAGCGGCCATGAACACCAGTTCAATATTTGAGATAACCAGCCCAGTCCGACTCGTTCGTAACATCTTCTTTATCCCAACCAGACAGGACGTAAAGAGGAGTCCCAGGTTCACATTCGAGCAACTGATTGGCCAATATATTCGTGAGAGTTGTTCCGCTTAGGCTTCGAGAAACGCTTGTCGTCGAGGAAGATGGAGAAGTTGCTCAAGACTTCAGACAGCGGCGACGACCAGGTGGCTGACCAAACGCCAGGCCGTACGGGTTGAGGTTCATGTATTGAGACTGGTGAAGGGATGGAGACGGATCTCGACTGAAATGAATTCATGATGTACGAACTAGGAAATCCAATAGAGAGTCTGATTACTCGGGAGGGCCAATCAACTCAGACGGTTTGCGACGCCAAAGATGAAGGACATCCATAGGCAAGCCATCATCGCAGAACATTCTGATGACTGTAATGTATATAGCAAGGAAATGGATGGCAGAGGCATGAGTGAGCGACGGAGAAGGGTGTGCCTGAGGGAATATTTATGCCAGTGAAGTCTGCGACCAAGCTGCAGTGAATATACAGCAATAAATGGCCTAGGACCTCATTCAATAGTCTCCTCTGTACATACCGTCTGAAGACGTATTCACTTTGCTTGTTTGCCAGACATCTCTAAGGAGTGAATAGCATGACCGGGTAGCTGCGCCATAAGATTGAACCAATAACATCTGCCTCGTCCGCATGAGTATAAACTAGTAAATTCAGCTGTAATGGGCCATGGTATATACAAGAAGAAGCAAGTGCAAAAACCTGGGACGAAAGACGCTCAAAGCCGGCAAACGGACATCCCTGCAATGCAAACGATCAACCCAATCACAATAACATCTAGCAAATCATACATCAGACCTGGACACTGGACCCATCACTCTTCTTGCAGGAACATGCGTTTGCTCCCGCGGCTATCTGCGAAGGAGTTCTGGCGTAGCTAGGAGGGACATCCAACGCCGGATTGCGAGCGAAGAAATTTCTAGGGCGGAGGAGCACAGTCATTGGCTCCGCAGGCATGATAGGGTAGTCTTCAGGAGAGGGGAAGTGAGTGAGGCCGAATGTGTGCCAGAGGACAATATCCGTGTTGTCAATTGAGCAGTTGGGGCCCGCTGATTCAATCCACGCTGGCAGGCCTTCGGAGGGCTCACCGGAAGTCTGCGGGACATGGCGACCTGCAGGGTGGACCTGGTCATCGGAGTCTGGCATAGACTATTAGCTTGACTGAGCGCACAAAATCGCAAGGGGATACTCACATTTGGTGACATGCACAGCGTGTCTGGCAAAGCCGGCCCGCTTCCAGACCAACCCGCCTTCCTTGGGAAGCAGTGAGGGAACCTCCCGGCTGACGAGCTTGTAGCAGACCGGCTTTTTGCTGTGGGGGTTCAGCTTGTTTGTGTTTGCCATCTCCCAGGTTCTGGAGGTGGCCCCGTTGTAGTCCGACATGGCCTCGAGCGGCGTGGTGAATTTGGTCTTCTTGGCGTAAAAGGCGTTGCCGTACTTGTTCTCTGCGCTTCCTACTTCACCAGGGCCTCGCTCTGCATCCACCTGGAAGACAGTGTTGTTTGGACCGTCAATGTTGGGGTCGATACGCAAACAGAATAAGTGCTGGTGGTTATGAGCGTTGACGCCGGGGTAGACCTCGGTACCCCAGCCCTTGGTGTCCTCACCGGGGTTCATGGCGTAGGTGTTAAGAATACCAGTTAGTTTGATATCGAGCTGAACGGTGCCGTCTTGGTGGAAGATCCAGTAAACGCAGTACTCGTAGTTGGCGGCGGTGAAAATGTGTGAGATGATCAGCTTGCGTCCACGGGTGACGATGATGGAGTCGTCCCGGAAATCGGTGTGCTTGAAAAGGATACCGGCATCTTCCTCATGAATGCAAATGGCGTTCTTTACGATGGTGCTGGCACCGGCACGGTTGACAAAGGCGGCATCCATGTAGTGGATAGCACCCTTGCAGTCACATCCGAGCGACAGGCTGTTGGTCATGTATCCACCGCCGTACTCGCCTAGATCGAAAGCGTGTTTGCGCTGATGCGGATGCTCGGGGTTACCGTACGGGACGACCATTTCTGCCAGGGAGAGACGGTAGAAGACTGGTCGAACATTTCCTTTGTCATTGAAGGTGATGTTATTGAGCACAATGCCTTCACGGTAGTTGAAGCCAACGTGGATACTCCAATTCTGCCACTGGATGGTGCGTCCGTCCAGCTGGAAAGACACGCCCTCAGGCTGAGTGATATGGATTGGCTTAATGTCTGTCCGGTAGCCGCCATCCTTCTCGATTGCCGCCGGGTGGTAGTTGTTTGCCGGGGCCCTACTGATGGGCCGTCGTACTGGTGGGATATCGATGTGGATGATCTCCTTGGTCTCGGCATTGTAGATCGGACAAAAGTCCAGAGGAAATGTGTACTGGGAGTCATCAACATGGGGCCGGTAGTACATCAGCGCCTGCTGCAGACGGACGTCACTCCCAAAGCGCTCATCGTAGCCGATCGTCCAAGCTATGCCAAAATCAGAAACACTCCACCAGCAAGTCAAATCACACAATGGTAACTCACGGTCGCAGTAAACCTTGTGCATATCCTCTTTCGGAATCCCCAGAATCCCACACTGCTCAATCACCTTGGGATCCTTCCGAACAATATGCTCAACCTCCTGCAAATCCTCCATCGTGATAAGCGGCTGCACACCCGGCGTATGCTTCCAGGAGACGATCTTCTTCTGATCCAGATCGACAATGCCATCGTAGACCTTACCACCAGGCGCGATTACAACGACGTCGGCAGCACGCGCTGGTCGAGGCACATTCTTAGGATCTGCGAGCCAGGCCATCATTTCCGCCTTCCGAGGCTCATACAGAGTCACCGCGTTGAAATTGACCTTGCCATGTTCCTTGTGGATGATAGCAACTGCCGTGTCGATTTCTTTTGTTGACAGAGGGTCAAAGGGATGAGGTGGAGGTGAAGAGGCGCCGACCTGGTAGGCCAGCTGCTGAAGGCGCTCAAGAACCATACTATATCACAATGAGGATGTTCAGGATGAAGCAAATGAGTATGGCTATTGATAGAATAAGGCTGTTGCAAAGATGCCTGACTGAAGCACTTAGAACAAAGATTCTCCCCAGCAGGGGAGGGAGCAAAATATAAAACCGCAATCATGACTGCATGATTGCATTAACACCTCATCGTCGACCACTGATGATGGCTGCTATCACACCGATAAGAGGCATGGATCGCATTTCCTGATTGGGCATAGCGGGCAATGTGGTGTACCTCAGCCCAAAGCGGTAATGGGATGCTTGTCTTGGTGCTTCCATCTCGAGTCAAGTTGAGTATGTAGCTTCGTTCAGAGAGCGGGGTATCTCGTCGCTGGATCATATCGGATGCATTTGCTAATAGTATTTCTCAATCTTCGTGCATACGGTGAGAAATGCATACCAATGGCCTGCGGGGATCTTGGAACCTTGCTTCGGATAAGGTACGGCCTACAGAGCCAAGCTCACACCGAGCTACGTGTGCCACCTTTGCAATTGCGCCTCAATCAAGGACAGGAATATGAGCTCGGACTGTCCCCAGAATCGTGATCGTGGACCTAGAGCGTTTGGGAACCAAAGGGACAAGGACACTGGAGCTTAAAAAGGATTCATTTGTGCCACCAAAACACCGAACACACCATCCACGAATACTGCCAACGCAGACTGGTGGTACGGAAGTCACAGACCCTCATGATGAACCGAGAAAATCGAATAGCGGATGAAAAATGCAAAAAGAAATAACAATGAGATAGCACAAGCTGTGCCACAAAGCTATGTACATCCATCATATCGTATCAAATCCATGTCCCACCACCAAAGCGAAAGCCATCACATACTGCGATGGACCATGAGGAAAGGCGAAGAGGAACGGTGGACGCCGGTCAACGCACCCAAAGCATTGCCCGAAGGACAGGAGACAACAGGAAGAAGCCTATACAGGACAAACGAGGCCCAAGGAGAAACCAAATGCAAAAGCATGTCATAAACTCCCTCCGAACCTTACCCTGATTTAACACCTTACAACAAGAGAAGCAAAGTATGGACCCGATGAAACAAAGCTCATGCCTTCCCTGTTTGAAACGCCCCCAAGACTCCACCTGCACCACCAGGAGTCAGTGCACCACCTAAATTCCCACCGTGATGTTGAGGAGTTTGACGACCGGTATTGGGTGTGCTCGGTGTCCCGGCTGCCGAGTAGATAGTGGCTCCGTTGAGATTCGGTGTTTGATGAGGTTGCATATGATATGTCAGTGCAGGCATTTGGCCGTTCAGACCCCAAATTTGCCCCGAGTACTTAGCCTCATCGATCTTGCCATTAAAGATCAGCTGACGCATCTTCCAGTAGATCTCGCCCGTGACGAGTGAGTCAGACCCCGCCTGATGCGCAATGCCGACCCGCTTCACACCGAGCTCGTCGGCAATGTCCTGAAGACCGGACTTTTGGCCCAGGCTCGTCAAGATCTGCGCGGCGGCTGGAGTCAGCGGCGAATCGTTGACTGCTTGGTTACGTCCTGCATGTTTCATCAAGTATTTGATGTCGTATAACGATGGAAAGAAAATCTTCAGAAGTGTGTGAAAGTCCTCCTCGCTCTCTGGCAGAGATTTGCACAACATGATCTTCATTAGGTAGCCGAAATCGTAGCCGGAATGGAACGAAACCCAATGTACATCGTCGAGTAGGACGAGTCCAGAACTGATCAGAAGGGCTCCAAACTCAAAAGGATCGATACCATTCTTTTCGTGCATGTTGAAGTCAATAC